AGCCTCAAGGTCTGCAAAAGAAAGTTCCAGATAAAATCAGTCTGTGCAATCCAAGATGATCAAAGTTGCCTTCAGATTGTTGGCACATTATTTAATCTTATTGTAATTATAAATTTTCACACCTCTGTGTTTCACTTAGACCCACAGAAGTATGACATATGCAATAAGGATTTAGAAATCTGATATAATCCAACTGTCAATCAAGAGCTAGGAGGTGGTACTCAAGTGAGACCCTCTGGAAATTTCCTCTCCTACTCTAAAATAACTGAGTTCACAAAGAAGTGAGTTGTTGATTCTTTTGGATGATCCATTTCTCCCTTGAGAGTGCCCCTGCCCTTCTTCTCTCTTCTACTAAACTTTCCTACACCTTCACTACACCTCAGGTCTCCCTTGAAATCTCATGAAGACACAAGAGTCAAAAGCACAACACAACTTTGTGATAATATGAATAATCCAGCAGATAGCATGAACACCAATTAAAAGTAGAATGATTAATATTTTGTATAATCATTTGTATTTTGAATGCTTAATAAAGTATGTAATAGCAAATGCAGAAGATACAAGATTATACAGGAGAAAGAAGTCTCCTTCTCATCCCTGTGCCCAGCCATCTTATAATTTCACTCCCTAGATACAGTTCCTCTGTATCTTTGCAGATAGATGGGTCTGTGGGATGAAATAAGGTTCCTTTGCATCAGGGCATGCAGGGAAATAAAGGACTTTCTCATCATGCCATCAAGATAAACCATAGACACATATTTAGGCCAATCTCATCTAGGGATATAGCTCAGTGGTAGGTAGAATGCTTGCCTGGCATGGGTGAGGTCCTGGATTTGATACCAAGGTTAAAAAAAAAAAAAAGGCAATACAATGGCAATAAGGAATTTGGTAATTTGTGGGAACACATTTGCAAAGCTGCAAACACCAGGAATATTCCTCACAATTGATTAATACTTTCTTTAAAAAAGAAAAAAGTCTATACATATATTAGTAAATATTTATTAAGTGCTAATATGTAACAATATAAATTCCCACCACCCACAGATTCTGGATTTTAAGGGTAGTTTGTTAGACCTAAGTAAACACACTATTTTGTAAGAGTTGTTACCTTTTTTTTTTGTGATAAACACGATCTAGTAAACTTTTGGTTCATTTTCAATTATTTTTCACTACATAAAATAAAACAAATTCAGTTTTTATTTTAAAATAGAATTTATTAAATACTATAGTGAATTCCATACATTAAAAATGTTTTTCTTGTCAGTATTGGCACATGATGAATAATTTTAAGGTACTGGTAAATTAACACTTCAAAAAATCTTAAACTTGAAATCATGTTCCATTAGAAAATAAAGCCTAGTAGTGTTATAAAAGTATTGATACTCACATATCAAAGTGTAAAAAAATTTTGAGTGCTTAATAAAGTATATAATAGCAAATAAAGTATATAATAGCAAACCATATTACTTTTTCATAAGGTTTTCATTTCAGCAAAATACAACAGAAGGTTAAACAATAGGCAAAAGCCAACTAATTTACATTGACTTGTCTGCCTTACTGGGAAATATTGCAATGTAAGTGGATGAACTACAGATATTTTAAAAATAAGTATATTTCAAAGGAATAGAAAAGCTGTTTACAATACTTTTTGTTTAATCAAAGTACCACATGATGACATTAAATATTCTGCTTTATTTTAGTTGTACCTTATTTGCCACTAAGGTACAACTAAAATAATTTACCCCCCAATGAACATTTTCATATATAAAGGCTGTCCTAAGTATAGAAACACTAAACAAGTTAATTTATATTTCCAGTCTTTGCTATATTAAGGCCTATATATTACTGTCAATTTTTTTTACCTTAAAAATTCAGTGATCAAACACAATAATCATATTCCAAAGGTTGAATAATTTGACTCAGATCTTTTGAAATTCACAGAGTATTTTTCTTCCAGGAAGCATAAAGTGATTTATAGTCAGCTTTTTATTTGCATTACCCTCATATAACCCCCTTTAGAATTATCTTCTAAGGTAAACAGGGCACTGAAAATGAATTTTTTGAACTGTAAAATTGATCATTTATCATCATCTTGAATAAATTCAACTTTTAATCTTACCAATGGAAAACTATAAAGCCTCTTTAAACCACTACCTCCCACTAGTCTGAAATATAATTCTTATGCTTCTGAAATTTCATTTGGCTATCAGGCTAAAATTGGAGCCCAAACTTAATAAATTAGTTCAAATATTTTTTAGTTAAATATAAAAATGCTTTTTGGTTATATTGAATGCAGAAATTGAAAGAATGAAGAAAATTGGAAAATTCATTTGTATTTATTATAAATGTATCATTCACCAAAATCTCTAGAGACATGTAACTCAAATATACAAATGACAATAGCAAAGGGGCCCAAATTCTATCAAAAGGGTAATAAACTTCAGTCTCTTACAAGGAATTGTTGATGTAAAAAAAAATCTACAAGCTAGAAGGAAATAAAATATATTAGTATACCAACAAGGTCTTTCCTCATAAGCCTATTTATTTTTGCTGACTTAAACTGATAGAAAAATAATCAGTCTCACAATCTGAGATAACTTGAGTTCTATTTGATAAGTCACAAAAATGTTCATAGGGACTTTCTAGCAGTAAATTTTTTTACAGTAAACATTAATAAGTATAACATATCTTGTTGTTTAGACACATTTGGAAAAACCCAGCATCTCTTCCTCTTAAAAGTTATTGGTGGTAGGAGAACACAAGAAGAAATGATAGAACTTTTTAAAGCCAAATTTTCATCTTCCCTATGCTTTGTTCATTTTGATTCCCAAAATAAAATATTCCTATATGTTGTCTAAATAACTATTTTGAACTAGTTTGCCAGGGAGACAGTTTAAGTTCAATAAAAAGTTGACATTGAGGGTGGAGAGACTCCAAAAATTTTACTTTTCTCTTTTTTTTTTTTTTTTGTTAGTGGAAACTGAATCCAGGGGTCCTCTACCTTTACATCCCCAGCCCTTTTAATTTTTTATTTTGAGAAAGGGTCTTATTAAGTTGCCCAGGTTGGCTTCAAAACTGCAATCCTCCTGCCTCATCCTCTCGAACAGCTGGGATTACAGGCATCTGCATTGACTTTTTCCTTATTTCTATTTAGTAAGACTTCTTCCTTTTGGTTGTAGTACTGGAGTGGACGGCTTTGTATATGTTAGGCCAGTGCTCTACCATGCTCATAAATAAGCTTTTTTGTTGTTGTTTAAAAAGCTTTTATTTTTTAAAAGTTAATATGTGCATTACCGAAAAAATAAATAAGCTTTTAATAGGTAACTAGAACAAGATTTTACTTCCTTAATAAATAATGATTATGTAAGTTAGAATTTGTATCCAATAAGTCAGATTTCATATTTCAGTTAATGTTTTCCTGGAGTAAAATTAGATTAAGAAATCAAAATATTAGTTACTAGTTAATGAAATCAAATTATTTCAAGCAATTGTCTTACCTCAATGAAGTTTTTTTAAAAAAGCTTTTTTTCATAGTATATAGTTGAGGACTTTGAATATCATAAAGTTTGGATAATTTTGCTTAAAAAGCTGTATTTTGGTAAATATTTTATTGACATTATAAATGAAAATATAGTGGGAGTTTTAAAATGCCACTTAATTTGTTCTTCTCTTTATCAAATGTGCCAAATAAATTAGATTCCTTTGAAAAAACCCAAACTTGATATAAAACAAAGGCAAAATTAAGATTAACTCTTACTTATAAGATAAATTGTCATAAATAAGAGGACTCATAACTGTATTAAGTAGAAAGAAGAGTTGACTATAAATGTAGTTTCTCTATTTTCAATTTACTAAGCAAAAGTTAACAAATAAAAGCATCTAATGCTAAATTTAATACAAACATCAAAGGTCTGATCCATTTTGAAAGACATTAATTTTATCTTTTAATAAGTTAAATTGGTCTTAGAATGAGAGAGTAGATTTCTTCACTTTTTTTTAATGTGAAAGGATTTTGCTATGCTGTCCAGGCTGGTCTCAAATACTCCTTTCCCCAGTCTCCTGAGCATCTAGGACTACAGGTGTGTGCCATCATGCCTGGCTTCTGTTCACATATTTTGTGTATTATTTCACAGAAATGCAAATCCTGTTGCTTTTGCAATCACTTGTCATTTAGAAATTTCTTAGAGAAAAATAAAAGAAAATGGAAAAACAATGTGCATTTCCAGGAAAATGTTCAAAGCCCCACCTGAGATTTTACAAAGAATGAGAAAAAAGATTTTTCCAAGTTGGAAGTTACAGAGTGAATAACTGGTTCAACCCACTCATTTTGTAGGTGGAAAAACAGATACAAAAGTACACTTGTACTTGTATGCTTCCAAGGTTAATAGTTGTTATTTATGGGGAAAAAGTGAAAATTAGAAAAAAGGTAACAGGGAGGGGAAAGGATGTTACACATAGTGAGCCACATATATTAATATATAATTGGATCAGAATTTTTTTTTTTAAAGATCAAACGTTAACAGCAGCAAAACCAAATTTCAAAGATCAGAAATACTAGCTACATCTTCAAACAATGGTGTACCACTACAAACCAGACTTCAGTTTTTGTGTCCTTTAAATAACTTCTATGTTTCTCTATATCTGGAAAAATATTCTAACACACATTGCAGTCTGAAGTAATTTAGTTTCTCAAGTTTAAAAAAAGGGTTGTAATTTTTAAAAAAAGTATAAAAATGTTTATATTTATTCCCAAATAATATATTTCTAAACTTGGTATGATATGAGGTCCAAATTTTCACTGTTATCTGCCTTCTTGCATGGTCTTAAATACTTCATTTTATAGAGGAGATAAAATATATCTAATCCTTTAACAAAAAATCTTGCTTTGATAGTTACACTGTGATCTATCATTAGAGTTGAAAGAAATATATTTCAGTAAGGAAAATACAGGGATTAATCAAGATTTTTTTAGAAAAATATACTGTATACAATACATCTTAGAAATTACACACACCATATACTTTTATTTAATGCGAAGGCACAACTTTAACATAATTAAAAGTAAATGCGTTTTAATTATCTATGAAATAATTGTCTGTATCAGCTCATAAAAATATATATTTGCAAACACATCATTGAAAATGCTTTTGAATTGTCAATTCAGGAACTGAATTAAAAAGTCAAACTCTTATTTGTAGAAAATCAATAACATTATTGCAGGTCCATATAATATTATTGTTGGGCAATCTGTTCATCGGTAGTCACTGAGTTTTCTTCATTTGTTGAACAGTCCAGATGGTCCATCATCTAGGCATGAATAAATAAAAGCTGTCAGAAAATGAAAACTTTTAACTTGCCTCCTATATTCAATAATTCAACAAAAGGATTCCTAGTTTCTATAAAAGACACAGTGGGCATACACAGAGGGCTCCATGGAACTAACATTCCTTTTGTAATACTGTTCTGGTTCAATATCCATGCTCATAAGGAGATGGTTAGGGTAATAACAAATTTTTCAGGAAGCCTAAACATGTAACTCAGTGCCAATTTGATAACTGTTTTCTTTGGACCTTCCATTACTTTCATTTTGCAATGTGAATACTGCCCTTCATGGCAATGAAAATTCCACCACAAAAGGAAGATATTTCTGATGCTTATTCTAGGACATAATTCCACTTTATCTACCCATATAAGTGGAAAATCTAAAACTGGATCCAGATGTCACTGTGAGAATACCTACTGGCTCTGGGACAGTGTAATCTTATTGACACCTTGAACTGATCTTAAGATAATTTAAGAATGATACATGGAATTTTTGAAACATTATATAACAAAAATTTCTACTAAAAAACAAACTTGCAGGCACTTAAAGGTCAAATGATACTTGCAAACAAAACCAAGAATATGTTTGCTATATAGACTATTTTAAAAGTATTACCTTTAAGCTTTTCTCAGTTGGTCTTTTCAGCTCTGCCCATATTCCCATAAAAATCGTTTTATATTTGGGAATAAAGGAGAAGAAATTGCTTAACATTTTCAGCAATTTTTACCCTGTTCTTAAGATAAAACTACTTAAAAATAGAAAAAAAGTATTTGTCTTTGGGCTGGAGATGAAACTCAATAGTAGAGCATTTTCCTAGCATGCATAATGGCCTGGATTTGACCCCCCACCACCATCAACATTTAAAAAAAAAAAATCTTTGTTTTTCGTGAAGATCCTCGAAGACTTTTAGGCTAGTGATTAAATTTTAGTAATGTGATACACTATTTTTGTAAACTGGTTCTAAAAGCTTTAGAACACTAAGTTTTTTTTTGAAAAGTAAGAAATGGGGGTTTTGGATTTGCCAAATAAACAGAATACAACATGAGCTGAGGCTTTCAGTGACAATGTCTCAACCAATGGAGAAAACTTAAAAAGCCCAGACCTGTCAATTCTCTGGGTCATATCAAGTCCCCAGTCAGTTCTGTGGTCCTTATTTGCCAAAGATGCCCCCCGCACCCCCAGATTAATTTAGTTACATGTTCACAGGAATTATAGGGAAGAAGGGGGAATAAAGAAATTGGGATGTAGCTCAGTAGGAAAGCACTTGCCCATTATGCATGAAGTCCTGTTTTCTATTCCCAGTATCACAAAAACAAACAAACAAAAAATTAAATACAATGAAAAGTTTGGAATTATAATACCGTAGTTCAGAGATATTTATTCTCTTACATATTTCCAGGTTTGTGGTGTTTAAAAATAAATAAATAAAAGCCAAATTAAGACAGGTAACACGTATTAAGCACTTCACTATTTGAAATATAAGATGAAACTGCTGAACAGTTAATATTTTTTTTTACATTTTTTTCATTGTCAATAGACCTTTATTTTATTTATTTATATGCACTGCTGAGAGCCGAACCCAGTGCCTCACACATGCTATGCAAGCTTTGACCCCAGCCCATGAACAGTTCATTTTAGTCACAATTTAAATGAGGAAAGGAAAGGAGAAACATTGAAAGTATGAATGGTGGTAAAAGTCTTTCTTCCACAAGACCTGCTTACTCTCACAACCATCCCTAAAGAAATAAGGGCTTCCATATTCTATGTTATAAAATGCCTCTTCTTTCCTAATCCCCAGGTACCTCACCAGCATTAAAATCTTATCACTAAATATAGAAACATGAAGTAAAACACTTTTCAAAGTCAATTTCTTGAGAAGTAAGCATACCTATCCCCTATTCACTTTTCTTTATTGAATTTTTAAATACAAACTTAAAATAAGCTTTTAGTAACACATCAACATAGATAATAAAGTTGACAAAAATGGTATAAATTTTCATAATATTTATAAATAGGCAATTTGTAGTTTGGAAAGGTGTCCCTTGAAATTGTGTCAGTTAACCTGGCACTTTCTGATAGCTCTACTTACTTAGAATTGAACCAATCTCCAGAAACAGTTTAACAAAACTCACTGAAGTAGGTAACTAGAGTTGTTGATCCTCAAGCAGAGTCATTCTAAGTATCTCTGTACTCTGACTTTTCAGTTACAGCTTGTGACTTCTAAAAATAAGTAAAGTACTAATGACATTTAACAGAGACAAACTATTTCTTAGACATCAACAAACTGAAAACTTACTATCTACCCAGAGTAGAATAGCCCACCGGAAGTTATATAAATCTAACTTCACTGATTTAATATTAGAAATAAGGAAACAAAAATCCCCTAAGATGGTTCCTCTTAATTGTTCTACATATATCAAAATAATTATGACTCTGTTTGATTTTTCTCTTTAGAGAAAAATATATTTATTTACATTAATTAGAACTAAGGCTTAGAGTAAAATTGAACCAATGGAACTGAGTCCTATAGTTCTTGAACCACTTCAGAAAAGGGTCAAAAGAAATATAGTATAACTAGCTTTGGGCTGTAGAAAAAAATAGTTAATATTTCCAAATCAGCATTATTTTAATGATAACCCTATAGAAACATTACTTCTTCTGATGTGAGAAATTCACAGAAAAGGCTGACTGTCCTGTTTTCCTCTCCCTCTCTATTCTCACTTACTCTCTGTGAATGCCAATGACATTGCCACATTTCTGTCTGCATCCAGGTCTGTCTCCTGCCCATCAGACCCATTTATTCAACTGACTGTTATTTCTTTCTTTCTTTCTGGTGAGTCTATAAGTACTCTGAAATGTCCAACACTGAATTCACGTCCAGCACTTAACATGTCCAATATTGAATTCATCATCTTCTTCCCCAAATCTGTTCTGTCGTCCATTCTTTCAACTCTACTTCCTATGCCTCTCCTCATACTGAATCTATCACCAGACACCAATAATTTTGCCTCCAAATTTCTCTTGACATTGTTGACTTTACTTTATTGTGGGTTACAAGACTCTACAGACTCTCACCCTTGCTTCCTTCTCCAGATGTCACCTCCTGTAGCTCCCCTAACCTCCCTCAACATTATAGCCATCCTGAACTTCAGTTCCTAGCATGTGCCATACTCTCTCCCCTCCAAGCCTTTGAAGATTTGGTTCCTTCAAGTTGAACACATGACTCAGCCTTAAAATTTCAACATAAATTTAACATTCTTTAGAAAACTTTCCCCAAATTGCCTGTGGCCCTGTCCTGATAATACTGGATGTGTTGTCCCAACTCTTTATGAAGTAAACTTCGTTTAAAATGAGAAATGAATTTTGAGACTGACATGAGCCATTCATAGTTAGGAGTCCTAAGGTTTTTCACATAAAAAATATTCTAACATGCAGATATGCCTAAATAACATTGATAGAGCACTCATTTCAGGTTTAAATGGGTCAAGATTGGCCTTTCTTTAAAATTCCTAGAACAAAATCTTGACACCACAATGTTATGTTTAAGGTTTTTTCTTTATGGAAGTTCCTGATATTCCAGTAAAGTCTGTTTGCATTGAAATTAAGAAGTGTTGAGACACTCTTATCTACTGAGGTCAGGACCATCGCACTGAACCCTTAGTGAAGGCACTTAGTGGAGCAGTTACCTCTGCTTTGCCCTATCACAGAAAACTTCCCTCCTCCATCCATCCTTATGCCTGTGTATCAGTGGTCTCACGAACAAAATGAGAGAAATTCTGAGTGAGGGGCTGAAATTCTATCAATAAAGAAACAGTTCAAAGTTCATGTCCATCTGGTGGTTGGTCTATAGTTTCATTTGTACTGTTATTTAACAAGAGATAGTTAACACAGGCTATTATAATTGGAAAAAGCACTGGTTTAGAATTCTTCTGGTTAAATCTTGTAATTTCTTTTGAGATTTGGATAAATAATACCTGTGTTGCTTACCTCACAGTGCTGTTGTCTCAATTTATATTAAACTATTTAGAATATGTTTATGGCCACAATGTTCTTGACTAAGCTAGTAAAATAACTTTTAATTTTTCCATGAAGATGACACCCACACAGTTTTTTTTGAGTGTGCGCTAAGGATTGAATCCAGTAACTCACACATACTATGCAAGAACAGATTTTTTATTTTTAAAGATTTAAAAAGAAAAAATAAAAGTATATCCTGCAATACATATTCTACTACTAATCTTTGAATGCCACATCCCCCCAAAGAACCTCTTAGCCTTTATTTATTTATTTATTTATTTATGACAGGATCTCACTGTGTTGCCCAGGCTGGCCTTGAACTGGGCTCAAGTGATCTTCCTGCTTCAGCCTCTTGAGTAGCTGGAACTGCTGGTGTGCATGAGAATACCCTGCTCTTTTTTTTCCTTTTCCCTGGTAAAAAAGAATCATTGGTATTGACAGAAAAATCATTAGCAGTGTCTGGGATTGAAGCCAGGGCACTTTACTACTCAGCTACAATCGCCAACCCTTTCTATTTTTTACTTTAAGACAGAGTCTCCCTAAGTTGCTCAGGCTGGCCTCAATCTTGCAATCTTCCTGCCTCAGCCTCCTGAGTCCCTGGAATTACAGGTGTTACTGCATCCAGCCTAGCTAAAGAATACTATAAGTAGTTTTATATTTCTTTATTTAATAAATGTTTATTGAGCATATCTATGAGATAGGAATAAGTTATAAAAAGCCTATTCTCATGGAGCCTTGAAAATCAAAATCTTGCCTGGCATGGTGGCACATGCTTGTAACCCCAGCAGCTCTGGAGGCTAAGGTAGGAGGATCATAAATTCAAAAACCAGCCTCAGCAACTTAGCGAGACTCTCTCAAAATAAAAAAATGCAAAGGGCGAGGATGTCGCTCAGTGGTTAAGCACCCCTGGATTCAATCCCTGGTACCAAAAAGAAAAAGAAAAAAAAAAAAGAAAGAAAGAAAGGAATAAAATCAAAGTCTAGTAGGGAATGCAGTAGTCACTAACAATAAAATGTGATAAATTTATTGGGAACAGTAGGTGCCATGGAATCTAGTGCTTGTGAATTCAGGACAGGGCCACAGGCAATTTGGGGAAGGTTTTCTAAAGAATGTTAAATTTATGTTGAAACTTTAAGGCTGAGTCATGTGTTCAACTTGAAGGAACCAAATCTTCAAAGGCTTGGAGGGGAGAGAGTATGGCACATGCTAGGAACTGAAGTTCAGGATGGCTATAATGTTGAGGGAGGTTAGGGGAGCTACAGGAGGTGCATCTGGAGAAGGAAGCAAGGGTGAGAGTCTGTAGAGTCTTGTAACCCACAATAAAGTAAAGTCAACAATGTCAAGAGAAATTTGGAGGCAAAATTATTGGTGTCTGGTGATAGATTCAGTATGAGGAGAGGCATAGGAAGTAGAGTTGAAAGAATGGACGACAGAACAGATTTGGGGAAGAAGATGATGAATTCAATATTGGACATGTTAAGTGCTGGACGTGAATTCAGTGTTGGACATTTCAGAGTACTTATAGACTCACCAGAAAGAAAGAAAGAAATAACAGTCAGTTGAATAAATGGGTCTGATGGGCAGGAGACAGACCTGGATGCAGACAGAAATGTGACAATGTCACTGGCATTCACAGTGAGTGAGTGAGAATAGAGAGGGAGAGGAAAACACTCAAGAACTGTGACCAAGAAGTTTCTGCCATTAGGGGCACTACTGATTAACTGTGAGGTAAAACAAGACAAGGAAGACAATATGGGGATATTTTGATTAGGGTTGACACAAAATCTTTGTTCAATTTAGAATTTGAACTTGGGGCTGTTAGTGAGAGCAACATTTACTATCTTATAGAATTATGTATGTTTCTTGTTATTTTCATCACTGACCATCTTGTTTTCTTTGATGCCTCCCACGGTTTGATGGTAGTTTTGACTCGAGTCACCCACCAGGTTTTTGGCATTAGATTGCAATGAGAGGTAAGAACTGATGTTGCAGCAGGTAGACATATATATTCTTCCAGCCAAACTCAGTGAATTGTTAAGTATAAGCACATACCTGGTAGCTGCTACCTTTCCAGAATTTTTTCATTTCCTTACGTCTCCAAGCAACAATTGAGGCAGTAATAAGTGTGCAAGGTACTAAATAGAGAAGAGCAGGTTGCCCCCTTTTCATCAGTGTCAGAACAACAAATGTAAGTATCATACCAACAGCATAGGCTGCAAGAAGAATATCAAGCATTAGATATTTCTACATGCTACCAAAGGTAGATTTCCTCCATTATAGTTCTTCAAATATTTTTGAGGACACTTTTGTAATGACTTCCTATCATAATTTCACTGTTTTCCTAGATAGTAATGAGCAGAGACAGTCTATAGAACTTTTGAAAAATTTAAAATTGGAAAAACATAATAACTTAAGAAAAAGTACCAATTGTTTCTTGTTATTAAGAATGTTGAGTTGTTTACATTTTAAATAACTCAATCTGTACCTATAGGAAGCAAGGGTTGCTTTGAAAAAAATCTTCCTAATACTAAATACATATTTCCTAGGCTTCTTTAATAAGCACACACCAAACATTATGTGAAATTTTCATAACGATTCATGGTTTCCTTATGAACATAGTTCTCGGACTATTAGAGCTGGAAGGACCTTTGCAGACAGTTTAGTTACTCATTTTAAAAATGAGGAAATGGAGGATCAGGGAAGTGGTGCAGGTTGCTCAGATTTACGGCAGAATTGATAAAGCCTCGGGGCTGGGCTCAGGGGTAGAGTGCTTGCCTAGCACATGCGAGGCCCTGGGTTTGATCCTCAGCACCACATAAAAATAAATAAAGGTATTGTATCCAATTACAACTAAAAAATAATTAAAAAAAAAGAATTGATAAAGTCTCCTATAATCTGTCTCAATGTGTTCTTTAGCCTGTCATGGTCATTAGTACTGAAATCTAACCCATTAATGTCTTTAAGAGTACCATAATTAGGGGCTGGGGATGTGGCTCAAGCGGTAGCGCTCGCCTGGCATGCGTGCGGCCCGGGTTCGATCCTCAGCACCACATACAAAACAAAGATGTTGTGTCTGCCAAAAACTAAAGAATAAATATTGGAATTCTCTCTCTCTCTCTTTAAAAAAAAAAAAAAAAAAAAAAGAGTACCATAATTAATGACTGCAGACCAGCTTTCTTATTCCTGTATATTCTTTTCTTTATCTCTAACTTAGGTGTTCTTTCTTGTTGTCAGGATACTAATTCTTAGCAACATCCTTGTCTAGTACTAATATATATTTTTTAAAAAATAAATGATAAAGTATTTTGGAGGGGAGAGTAGAATCTTTATTATTCATTTATTTATTTTTAATGTGGTGCTGAGGATCAAACCCAGTACCTCACACATGTGAGGCAAGTGCTCTATCACTGAGCTACAGCCCCAGCCCACTATATTAATATACATTTTTAGTTTACTGGATTTAATTCCACTGTAGACTTGAAAACTTTGCTAGAACAGCATCTAACTGGCTCTGGTGCAGATCATTTACTTAAGCATAAAGTGCTTTGGTGTGTGAACTTTAAGATATCCATTTGATATGTTAAGAAATAGTAGGGTATATTTTGGCTTACTTTCTTTTATTAACTCTGTTCTCATTAATAAAAGTAGAGGTTTAAGTGACAATTACCTTTGCTGTTCCAGGTGAGATACTATTGTGTAATAAATTAAAATACAAACTTTGCATACCTTTTTAAAAAAATCTAGTAATAATCAATTTACTGACTCTTTGTGTGCCAGGTATTTTAATAAGCATTATACCTCTAGTTTTCTTTTTAAGACACCAAAACCTTGTGATATAAATTGTAAAGTATAATTACCCCTTTTGATAGAAAAATATATATTAATAATTTATGGCAAATAATTAGAATTTGGGACTCCTAAGTTTTAGATCTTTGTCTTTTCTTCAGGCATCCCAATTCAATATATATATAAAAAAAGAAGAAACAAAATTTACCAATTATAGAAGAAATATAGTATATAGAAGAAGAACCAGTCTGAACATCAAATCTTCTACAGTATGCAACCAACAGGCCTAAAAAACAAAAATAAAAATTCCACATTATTTCTTTAAAACAACACCAGTAATACAAATTCAATTATTAACTAAGGGGAACAATATATATTGTTCTATATTTCACCTTCCTTTTTGCATTTCGAGATCATTAAAGTACCTCAAATTCTGGAAAAGTTTGATATACTGATTTCCAAAATTTAATGCTATATTTTAAAAAGATTCCGTAGGGGCTGGGGATGTGGCTCAGAAGTAGAGTGCTTGCCTACCATGCGTGAGACACTGGGTTCAATCCTCTATACCACATAAAAATAAAAAATAAAGATATTGTGTCCATCTATAACTAAAAAAAAAAGTTAAAAAAAGATTCTCTAAACCATCAAACAGTGTTTAAAAACATGATTTTTATTACTTGGTCTTTCATGCTATGGAAAAAATTTTTTAAATGTTTCACTACAAAGTATATTGAATAGACAAGTGAGATTACATAAAACGAAAAAGCTTCTGCATAGCCACAGAAATGATCAAGAGTGAAAATATAACCTATGGAATAGGAATACTGAAAATCATACATGTGATAAGAGGTTGATCCAAAATACATGTGGTACTCCCAAAACTCAATGAGCAGAAAACATAACCCAATTTTAAAATGGACAAAGGAGGGGCTGGGGTTGTGGCTCAGCAGTAGAGTGCTGGCTTTACACGTGTGAGGTCCTGGGTTAGATCCTCAGCACCACATAAAAATAAATAAATAAAATAAAGGTACTGTGTCCAATAAACTCTAAAAAATAACAAATATTTAAAAAAAAAATAAAATGGACAAAGGAAGCCGATGTGGTGGCATGTGCCTATAGTTCCAGCTACTTGGGAGGGTATAAAGCAGTATGATCACTTGAGCCCAGAAGTTTGAAGCCAACCTAAGAAACATAGAGAGATTGTCTCAAAAAACAAAACAAAACAAAGGACAAAGGATTTAAATAGACATTTCTCAAAATAAGATATACATGGTCAACAGGTAGATGAAAAAATGTCCAAAATCACTGATCATGAGAGAAATGCAAATCAAAACCACAATGAGATATTACTGCAGAACTGTTAAAATGGCTTACATAAAAAACTGAAAAGATAAGTGTTGGAGAAAAGGGAATTGCACACTATTGGAGGGAATACAAATGAGTATAGCCATTATAAAAAATGATTATTTGATGTTCCTCAAATAATAGAAAATAGAACTATCATATGATTTAGCAATTCCACTACTGGGTGTATAATAAAGAAAGTGAAATCAGCACGTGAAGAGACATGTGTACTCCCATATTCACTGCAGCATTATTTACAATACCCAAAATCTAAAATCAATCTAAATGTGCATTAATGAATGAACAGATAAAAAAATGTGCTATATAGAAAAAAATGAGATATTATAAATCCTTTAAAGAGAAATTCTGTCATTTGTGACAACATAAATCAAACTGGAAGATGTTATGTTAGGCAAAATAAGCCAGGCACAGGACAGATACTGCATGATCTCACTTGCAAGTTGAATCTAAAATAGTTGAGTTTAGTTGGGTGTGGTAGCACATGCCTATAATCCCAGTGGCTCAGGAAGCTGAGGCAGAAGGATCACAAGTTCAAAGCCAGACTCAGAGATCTAGCGAGACCCTAAACAACTTAGCAAAACTCTGTCTCAAAATAAAAAATAAAAAGGGCTAGGGATGTGGTTCAGTGGTTAAGTGCCCCCAGATTCAATCCCTGGTATTCACACCCCCCCCTCTAAAATTTCCCCAAAACAAAAAATCCCCCCCCCACCAAAATCTTGAATTCATACAAGTAGAGAGTAAAATGGGAGTTATCAGGGGCTGGGGTGAGATATTGCTCAAAGGTTAAAAATTTCACTTAAATTGGAGGAATAAAGCTAAGGTTTATTGTACAACATGGTAATGACAGTTACTAGCCCTGTGTTATATTCTTGAAAACTGCTAGGAGTAGACTTTAAGTGTTCTTATCACAAAAAAATTAGTATGTGATGGTGTATGAATTAAAGAAAGTAGACAAAATAAAACTAGTAGTAATTTAAAAAACCAGTATGTGAAGTAATGTATATGTTTATTAGCTTGATTAAGCCATTCCATAATGCATATGTATCTCAAAACATAAACACAATAAATACATACACATTTTGTCAATTTAAATAATATATATGTAAGTATGTTTAAAAATATACTTAAAAGGCATCAAGGAAGGCAATTTAACTGGGATCAAAAAAGTTTCCTTGGGCTAAAGATATAGTTCAGTTGGTAGAATGCTTGTCTAGTATGTACAAGGCCCTTGGTTCAGTGCCCAGCACAACCACCAAAAAAAAAAAATAGGGCTGGGGATGTGGCTCAAGTGGTAGCGTGCTCGCCTGGCATGCGTGCGGCCCAGGTTCAATTCTCAGCACCACATACAAACAAAGATGTTGTGTCCGCCGAAAACTAAAAAATAAATATAAAAATAAATAAATAAATAAAAGTCTCCTTCCTGGTACCATAAAATGATTTGGAGTTTTAATATGAAAAATACAACAATGAAATACAAGCTTTCATTTGTAAACATGAAAATATGCAGACATGATTTATTCCGAACCCATTTCTTATAAGAAATTTATTGAACCTCTCTCTAAAGAAGAAATCTCATACTGTATTCATTAAGTAAATACTTCATAAAACAACAGAATGACATTCAACCACTTAAAAACCATAGATTAACTGGACTATCTTTACTGGTTGCTTGAATTAATTAGCTTTGGTCTGTCACATAACTAATAAAACAAGTTTTCTGTTATTTTTTACTACATTTGCTGTTTACACGTCTCTATGTGTTAAAAAAAATCACAACCCTCCTCCTATATTAGAATTTAGCTCTTAAGATTGAATCACTGTCAATAACTCTGCTCTTGGGGACATATTTCTGTTTGAGATTTACTGAAAGAATGTGATATTTATATAGTATTTTTACCAATTCTATGCCAAAAATTATACATAAAATCTTATATCACTTAGTATGACACTAAGTCAAAATGATATATCTAAATATCAAGTTTAAAGATATTCAAGAAACTATAAGGTTACTCAATAGAATGAATGCATTCCCTTCCTTCTGGATAATATGAATGAAAACTCACTGAACTAAGTTGCTATACTGGACTTCGTCATGTCAACTCATAAGGTATTATTGCTAGCTTTTTTCTCTTGTCTGTACCCACAACCCATACATACACATATGCATAGTTTTAGTAGGTAAACAGAAGGGCTTTTGCAAAAGAAAGCCAGTATTTTTCACTCATTCACAGGTAGTTAGTGCATAAGAAGACTGGAAGAATAGTAAAAAAGGATGAACTTCCAACTGATAGATAAATACTATTAATTACTTCTAAGCTATATTATTTTTATGAATATAATCTCAAGATTTTATTCATAATAAACAAGATATGAATCTTAGACCTGGATCACTGGCCCTTTCCCAGTTCACAATCTCTTAATAGCCAGCATTCTCTTAGACCCACAGATGGGCTCAACACACTCATGCCTCATCACAATCTTGGTAGTTTTAGCCTTCAGAAAATTGGCCACTCTGCTTCCAGTCCTAACACTGCTGTACCTTGGCAGAGAATTTTTGCCTTTTTTGTACTGTATTACTTAGTGGGACTGTTGCTTGTCATAGTTCTTATATAAGTCCAGCAAGTTTTAGGGACTTGCAAGAGCAGCTATTGGCACAGAAAGCTAAACTGTATCATAACTTGTCTGGGATTAAGTTAATTCAATAAGTAATCCAATAAGGACAATAAGGCACATTTCCAATATCTGTAAGGATAAGGTGAGTGAGTTCCCTAAAAACTTTCTTTTTATGTTAGAAAGCCATAAAAAATGGTGTTCTATTGTTTCTCCTCTCGAACATGACTTTGTGTAGTATAATTAAACTATTTCCCAAAACGTAACTATTATTAAAAACTAAAAGTAATAGAAAGTGAATGTTTGGCACTGTTATATCCAACTGCTAAAAAGGGTCACAAAATATACTTTATTGGGGAAGGTTAAACTAATCCTAGATGCTTGCTTTAAGGTACTTTTGAGCCATGGAAGATCTTACTTGATTTTTACTATTTGGGCTTTATCTTATATCCCTCAAAATGTTTTTTCCTACCTTGTTACTGAGTGTAGCTACAGTAAACAGCCAAAAATACTTAATATGAAATAGGTAACTTTTAACCGATACTGTACATGTGATGATTTTTTTAACCATCAGTATTTTTTACTAAAATTGTTATAATCACTTACCTGGTACAATAATGTCACCAAAACCCAATAATGAAACAGGCAGAAGGCACACATGCATTATTGAGAAATAAATCAGCTTTGGTATCTTGATGACTACTGGTAACTGTTGAAAAAAAAAAAAGAAAGAAGGAAGGAAGGAAGAAAGAAAGGAAGGGAGGAAAGGAGGGAAGGGAGGGAGAAAGGGAAAACAAGAAGGAAGAAAGACAGGAAGGAAAACCACCAATAAACCTCTTCCCAATCTTTCTTTCAGAAAGGAAAGACATTAGAATGAAGAACATTTTCAAACTGACATTGAAAAAAAAAAATGAAATCAGAGGACATAAACTAGGCACATATATGTGTATGTGTATATATATATATATGTATATATATATAAAAAACATGTATGAGTAGATATATGCATATATGCATATATATGTATGTGTGTATGCATACATATATGTGTAACAAACTCTACATGTAAAGAAAAATTGAAAAATATAAACTTATAGTTTTGGGAAAATGAAATCCAATACTTGTAGGATTAAGCATATTAGTCCACTATACCCACATCTAACTTTTTTTTTGTTTTTACCAAGAATAGGACTCAGAATTTGAAATAATTTTTTTTTTTTTTTTGGGCAAATCTGGATTTTTTTCCCCCAAAGAAGAGTCTTGTCTCAGAGGGTATGATTTAAAGTCCAATGAACATATCTGAAATTCAGTCCTTACTTTCTCATGGGGAGCTGAGGGTTGAGCAGTGGCTTCCTCAAAGTTTCCAACATTCTAGGATGAAACCCAAGTCAATAGGTATTTAATAATCTAGAATAACTAAGAAAAGGGCTACATTTTGTGAGAAATAAGTTTATAATACCTTAACATGCACTACATGACCAATGAATTACACAGGAAGGCAAAAGTTAACTGAATACACATACATTCACTGGACAGGAATTTCTATTTAGTTGCCATTTCTACCTTTTCAGTATTTCCGAAAGGTCCAGCTGCAAGTTCAACCATGATACTCTCACCATTCTAAAGAGAAGGAAGATTAAAGAAGTTTAAAAAGAACAATTTGTCACTATTTACGAATGACTTACACATTATGGTATATGGCTTAAAGTAAAGTAATTGAAAATGGCTATAGACAGCTTTTTTCAAAACAGTCTGTGTGTGCAAACAGCAAAAATTGAACTAATCACAAACAAAAATCACACTATTACACTTTATTAAACTCAATAATTACCAGAAACTGGAGAAACAAAAACAACAAAAAAGGCAGGCACAGATTATTCAAAACTACCATGAGCTCTGGATTGCACTGACATAGTGATATCTAACATTTGTAATGGGTTATAAATTTCAAGTATTTTAATCTTTTATTATATAAAAGATTAGTATTTATATTATATACTATGTATTTACATTATATACATAGTATTTATATTATATACTATGTTCTTACTCATTTTCAGCAATATCAGTAAAGAGGGCCATACTAAGATCTCTTAATTTTAGCTTTGTAACAAACATAGACCACTTTATTTGAATAAATAGATATTTTACCTTCTGACTATTCACAACAACAAAACAATGAAGCCAAATGTGAAAAGACCCAACCCCACAGAACCTGAGGAGTTTCTCCAGCCTGATGCTGTCCAATTTCAGTGCTGCATGCTATGTTCCAATCAAAACATTTACCTTAGATGAATTTCCCTCCCTGTATCTGGCTAAAGTCTTTTTATGTGTTCTGTGTGAGGAGTTCATTTAAAAGTTTTCTTCTGATAGTCAGGTCTATTGTGAAGAGGGGAAACATTTTGTAGTAGGTTAGATGCATAAAATTCTCACTTTCTGTTTCACAGTACGATAAATATATCAGCTAAACTGGTAGATGGAAGATAAATGTTGAATTTTAGGAAAATGTGATTGATTAACTATAATATTTTCCATGTGGGTGGGGTGCAAATGAGAAATCACTGGAGTGTTTTCAAAGACCTCACTAATAACCTGAACCAAGTAGAAAGATAAAATCCCTAGCTAGGTTTACTTTGGTTCATTATTTAGTTGCTATTTAAGACATTTAGTTGAAGATCATCATGGACATCCTCCATACATTCAAAGATATGAGGAAATACTATATGAGAGATACTATAGGGTATATGCTGGTGGATGAAGAAACAATAAGTAAGACAGGCTCTTGGGGAGAAAGGGGAGGGAAGGAGGCATGGGGACAGGCGAGGTAGTGGAATGAGACGAACATCATTACCCTAGATACATGTATGATTGCACATATGGTGTGATGCTACATCATGTACAACCAGAGAAATGAAAAGTTGTGTTGCAAATGTGTACAATGAATCAAAATGCATTCTGCTATCATATATACCTAATTAAAATAAATTAATTAATTTTACAAAAAGACAGGCTCTTATGACTATACACCTACAGCCAGCTGTCCTGCCAACTCACTAGAAAGTCTAGTAATACATGGGTCAAGAACATGTTTAGAATACTGAATATTTAATCCTTCAAATTTACAGTGAATATTATAAAAATAAGCAAATAATTATCTGATTTTCATTTTGAACTACCTGTCTATAGCCTTAATTAAAAAAAATCAGACTGAGAAGAGTTAATATAAATCTACAATAGTGAATTCCAAAGATCACTTCAGCTTTTTTTCCACTGTATCAAATTGCTAGAAATCACATTCCTAGTCAGTAGGAACTGAGATGAAAAAAGAACATGAAAATTTTCTTAAGCACATAAGAGAGAAGGCTTAAAGACACCTTTATTATTATACTACACCTTCACATTTCTGAAACCTTGTATACATAGGGAACTGAAATCATTTGCTAGAAGACATGTTTGGCATTCATAAAGTGATATTAAGGTTAAATTGGAAAATTATTTTTAAAAAGTTTACTTACAGTTTCTAACAATATCCACTGTGTAATATACTGTGGGTCCTATAACTATGGACTATCTGCTGACTTATAGGCTTTGTAGAGAGAATGCTACAATTTCATTATAATATTTCTGATGCAGCATCCCATAAAAACATTTTTAACCAAATAAATTTACACAAATCAGGACAGCTTTAGAAAGACCTGAAGAAGTGTTTCAACAAATCACCAATTTTACATATCATCCTTAATACCAGTTCTATGCTTTTTTTTTAAGATTATTACTGCTCAATGAAGTCAATGAATCAAATGGCTCATCAATAAGGCATGGAAATGTGCTAGTAAAACAGTGTGGGAAGTGATAATTTAAGACAGTTAACTATTATTTGTAACATAGCTGAAATTTTAGCTTCCCACAGGGCACATATTTGTCCTTATGCCATCAAAGCAAATATTAGAAGTGCAGATTTTTATAGTGATTTCATAGATGGCAGAATATTAAAAAAAAAATGATTAAGAACCAGCAGGGGCTGGGGAGTGTAGCTCAATGGTAGAGTGCTTGCCTAGTATGTGCAACCTGGGCTGCATCCCCCGCATTGCGAATGAGAACAACAATAATAACCAACCACCACCACCTGAGGGGAAGAAAAGAAGTACACATCAAATTCAAAATATGAAAGAGTGACAAAGGAGGAAGAGATGATGTAGAAAATAAAATCAGAGAAATTGTGGAAAACTAAATAATAAATAATAACATATTCATGAGACAGGAAAAGGGTCGAAGTAAAAAAACTGGAAAAATAATGGACAACTATATATACCCCATACTTCTTATTTTATTGAGGAGCTAGTTGCAAAGCTAAGAATATATGACCTATGAGCTGCCAGTCATGGCAGCCAGTCTAAGAGAATGGACAAATGGACAGAGGCTAAAAGGATGCTTGTGGCAATGGGTTTATTTTCTCCTGAAGTCAACACCATCCTGGCTTCTAAACACACACCTGGGACCTTTTTAGGCTTAGGTTGGGTTCTGTCAGTTGCAACCAAAAGATGGTGTGGTGGAAAGCTAGCAAGACTTCCTCACATAACGAATTAGGAAACGGAGGCAGAAAGGACCAAGTCACTTACCCAGGGTTACAAAGTTACAGAGTTAAACTCTAGGCTTTCAGACTTCCAGTGCACTGCTCTTTCTTAGAGCTAGGACTTGGGAAATTAAACTAGCAATGACACATTTCTTTCCATACTTCCCCACTGCCTTCTTCCTTCTCTCCCTTCCTTCCCTCACTCCCTTCCTTCCTTTATCCATTCTCCCCTCCCTCCCTCTTTTTCTCTCTTCTTCCCTCCCTCCTTATTGACTATACTCCCTACAGTAGATATTTACTAACTTATGTAAGAAAAATTACTTTCAAAAGAAAGAAAAAATACAAACATTCTCACTATTACATCAGAAGACTTTTAAAAAATCTAACATAAAGAATTAAAGGTTTGAAAATTAATACCCTCTATTAAAATACCCTCTATTAAAAGAGGGTATTTCAGTGACAATTCTCTAAAAAAGAACTGGAACTCAGCGGAAAACATCTGTAAAGTCAATAATCTATAAGCAGATTTAAGATTCTCATGTTTTAACACGCTTCTTCATGGATTAAAAAATGATCATACCTTTGTGATGAATGGTGTTATGAAAACAAAAAATACATCATAGAAGAGGAGAAGGCCTAGAAGTATCACACATGACTGTTGAGGAAAGAAATAAATTTAAAGATCAAATTTCCCATGTCTACATTAAGAGATCAAATTATTTTGCAAATATAAATAAGCACATGAAACACCTTTGAATGCTGTTTTTAAAGGTCTATTTTAGTTACTAATATGTGTACTTTTGTTCTACAATCCACATTAGAATCCTTTTCTTCTTTATCCCATTTGTTTAAAAAAAATCACTGAATCAAAGAAATGTTTCCCTGTGACATTTAGTCTGATAAGGATTTTATGAACTGGGCACATTAGATGCATGAATATTTTAGCTAACAAATCAGTGGTTGCCTTTTCCTGGGGATTAGGATTAATTTCAAAAGGGCATGATAGAGATTTTTGAAGAGAAAAGAGAAATGTTCTATAACTTTACTGGGATGGTGATTATAAAGTTATACATTTGTAAAATTTCAACAAACAGTATACTAAAGATGGGTGTATTTACTGTTTGAAAATAATATCTTAATAAAGTTGTTTTTTTAAAAGGAAAAATATTTTAACTAGCAAAGTAATACACTTTACCTTGAAGTTGGGTAACTTCAGTGTTTTAATTAAATTCAGACAGAAAGCAATCCCCAAAATATCCTGTAAAATCCAAGCCCACCTAGAATCAAAAGATATTGCCTTATTGTTTTATCCTGCTATGTTTAGATGAAACTTTTCAAAGAAACAGATCACTAAAGTAATATTACTCAATGGCTACGGTTTGACTGCTTGATTATTAAACACCTAGTATGACAGTAACAAAAACCCCGCTTATCCTTTCCATTTAGTAATTCACTGTTCTAGCAGAATAAAGAATACCATTATACTAAGAAAAAGTTGAAAGGCTACTTCAGGGGAATGTATATAAATCTTTGAGCTTATACATACATTTCTTTCTAGAAAGACAGCTGTTTACTAAGGACACTAGTGTTAGTATACATTCAAACAGCTTGAACATAAAGGAAGTGAGAGCTATGCAACTTTATCAGAAATTGACATACAAAATTATCAATTGGTAATCATATGAAGCTACCTAAAACTTGTATGAACATTGTTTTCTGAATTTTAAAACATTAAATCTTTTAGGTCATCATTACTTTTCTTAGTATGTCATTAAATTAACCTAAGTATATATATATTTTTCTGGATTTTCTTCCTGCAAAGGACAGATGCCTTCTACACCCTCTTCTTTCTGCAAAGGGACAGGTATCTTGTACATCCTATTCATGTTATCTAACATCAAAGGTACCAAACCATACATATTATTTTGTACTTTGCTCTTTTCTCTTAAAAATATATCCTGAAATCACTGTATATCAATTCATAGAGATCTTCATTCTTTAGAATTATATTATACCCCATTGTGTAGCTATATCACAATTAAGTACATATTTGAAGTTGAGGTACTTGATCATAATTCACATTTCCTTCTCTATATAAACTCAAATCATTAGCATAAGATCTGCTCATTAAAAAGTAGCTTGTTCCCATTGGCTCAGGAGGCTGAGGCAGGAGGATTGCAAGTTCAAAGCTAGCCTCAGTAACTTAGCAAGGCCCCCAAGCAATCAGCAAGACCCTGTCTCTAATAAAATATTAAAAAAAGGCTGGGGATGTGGCTCAGTGGTTAAGTGCCCCTAGGTTCACCACGTGAATGTAAAAGAAAACAAATTCTATAATAATCATAATGAATAAGTATTATGGCAAGTTACAAAATAATCCATCCTTAAATCTAAAATCAAATACATTGAGTATTCATACCTATCTTCATTTCGAAACACAGCCCAAACAACAGCTACTGCTATGCACAGTCCCGAGAGAAAAATAAGTCTCACTTCAATGCTTTTGCCATGACAAGTAATCCTAAAACAGATTAAAATATTTTAGTTTATGCTACCAATGACGTACAATGTTCACTTGGTATAAAAAGTTACCAAATATTAACCAATCCCAAGATGACTGAAATAACAATTCAGAAGCCTTCAAACAAATGAGACATAATAGTCAGTGAAAAAGAACTTTCTGTGGTGATGTGGCTACTGTGGTGGTGACTGTCCACATGTGGCTACTGAATCCTTGAAATGTATGAGACTGGGGAACTAAATCTTAAGTTTTAAAAAATATAACATTAAAATTTAATTAATATAACTTTTTTATTTATAACTTTAATTAATTTAATTTAAACATAAACAACATAGATCCAACACATATTGGACTACACAGGTTTTAAAATAACACTCTTACTTTTCTATGTATAATATTAAATTACAAATAATAATATAACAACATTTGGCATGAGAGATACGTACGTGCATTGTCCACATGGTATATTATGAATTAATGCAGCAAGACAGTTGTACAGACTCATTGCTGATGCTATGCAGAAAATTGCTATCATAACATAAACTAGAAAAAAACAAGAGAAGGTAATGTGAGAAGAAAATATATAAGCAATATTAATTCTTTTGCTTCTTTACTAAATTATGATACTTTCAATCCAGTGAATATATTAGTATCTGAATTAGTTACTAAACTGAATATATTTAGTTCTTGAATTTTAAGATTGGGTATTTTATGTGTTTTTACATTCCTTTATACATGGATAGGACTGCTTAAGGGGCTGAAGGTGGCCCTGCATTTTTTATCATTTAATAATTAAAGTGACATGTTTGTTAAAGGTTTCTATGAAGTGAGGTATAGATATTTATGAATATTTAATTAAATGTAAGGAATAGAAGAGTTAATAAGCCACTAAGAAACATTTTTTTAAATGCAACTTAGAGATGGAAATGAACACTTGCCATAGACACAAACCATGTTATGTACATGTTCCTATGGAAAATTCATCTATAATAACTTGACCTGTGGTAAAACCAAATAGATTTAAACAAAATTCTTTGCTACAATATGATACTCAGGTAGTTAAGATTGATGAGTGTTTTACTATATTATTCATACTTATTTGAGAATTATTTAAAATTAAAGACATTTGCTGGGCATGATGGCACACATCTGTAATCCCAGTGACCTGGGAGGCCAAGGCAGGAGGATTGAGTTTAAAGCCAGCCTCAGCAACTTAGTGACACCCTGTTTCAGGAATAAAAAATAAAATGGGGTGGGAATGTGGCTCTCAATCTCTGGTACAAAAAAAAAAATTATGTATATATATATAAAACTTTGCTGATCCTCCTCAAAAATCTCATAATACAAACAAAAATTGTACCTGATTTTTTTGAATTCTACTTTATTTCACAAAACTATAGCTTTATTCTGTAAGAGAAAAAGAGAGACTAGTCTAGACACTGTAATTTAGGAATAGCCACTTTCTGACTGGTGATGCTGGATAAATCACTTTTTTAGTCCCTTGATTCTCATGTCTGAAATGTAAAATATAATAATACCTATTTTGGGATTATTGTGAGTATTAGATAACTAATATATATGAAGTGCTTAGAATATTATCTAGCACATAAATAAATTTTATGTTATTATTTTTATTATTGGTTATGTGTGGTAATGTGAGTAGGAAGATAGACTGCCAAGTTGATTTTGGTAAGCCGTCTATCAAAATTGCCTAATCCCAAATTTTAACACACTGGTGGAAATCATGCTTCTTGATGAATTTGAGTGAGTGCTTCATTCAATATTGTACTGTATCTTAGAAAATGATTACGTATGAGGAAGAGTTTGGTTACCATAACTCATCTTTGAGCGCTTTGTTAAAACAATGTTTTTAATATAAAATGGCAAGGGCAGCCTCAGCAATTTAGTATAACTCCGTTAGTTAGTATATTAAGAAATGGCAGCAATTTTGGCCATAGGAACAATTCTGAGAAAACAAAAACTTGCAACATCGTGACACAAGGTATTGCAAGAGTCATAATTAAATCCTGTGTCCTAGAGTAACTATAAAGTTGAATGATCTTCCTATATCAGAAATTACATTTATAAACAGAATCAACTTTTTAAATAGCAGTAAGTTTAAGAAAATTTCTTACCAAAAATTAAAATGTGCTTTAAGATAGTGTAGAGAATATTTTTCCTGTCCAAAAACCACTGATATATCAACTGAGGGTCAGACAAAGATTAAAAATTGAAGGCCAGGTATAAGATTACTAAACTCAGCTGCTCAATCTCAACATAATATAAAAATAATTTTAGTACTCAATCTCTCAGCAACAGATTGAAATGAGTAATACTCACAATGATTATTTTTTAGTCTTTGGAATTAATGCTTATTAATGATTATTTTTTAATCATTGGAATTAATTAATCATGGGACGCTACCAGGCTAGTTTTTTATTGTTGTTTTTAATTGGGAATTAAGCCTATTGAATCACATCCCCAGTCCTTTTTTAAAAAAAATTTTTTTTAGTTGTTGACGGACCTTTATTTTTTTTTTTAATATTTATTTTTTAGTTTTCGGCGGACACAACATCTTTGTTTGTATGTGGTGCTGAGGATTGAACCCGGGCCGCATGCATGCCAGGCGAGCGCGCTACAGCTTGAGCCACATCCCCAGCCCCGACGGACCTTTATTTAATTTACTTTAATGTGATGCTTAGAATCGAACCCAATACCTTACATTTGCTAGAAAAGTACTCTACCACTGAGCCACAATCCCAGCCCCAGCCCTTTTAATTTTTTTATTTTAGACAGGGTACCACTAACTTGCTGAGACTGGCCTCAAATTTATGATCCTCCTATCTCAGCCTCTGGAGTCACTGGAATTACAGGTATCCCACCATATCCGTCCTGCCTACTTTTTAAATTGCTGCCACAACTCAGGAGTAACTGAACAATAAAGTGAAATCAATAGTAGGGCCTCAGTTTTCTGGTCCAGAAATTTATGCTAATCATCTCCAAATAAGCATTTAGTGGTTTTTACAAGGGTTTTTGCTAGTTTTCATCAGGAACACTCCCCTTTTTCCTGGTCTTCCTCCTATTTGTACAGTATACTGGCCAGAAATTGCAAATTTTCACCCTGTCAGACCACTAATATGATTTGTCTAGGGAAAGAGCAAGCTATTTCCTTCAGTTCTTACACCTGCCTTCTTAAAGGAAAAAGAGTACCAGTTACTTTCTAGACCATGTAGGCAAGTACCTCTGTGTCTTCATATATGGTATGATCCTAACTGCTTGTGTAAGTAAAACAAAATCTAAGCAATACAGCATCTTGATTTGCAAATTGAAAAAAGGATAAACTACACCTTGGGAGTAAGCAGAGGCAACAAATCAGTAATTTTAATAATCTTTTATTCCATGTAGCTAAACATAGCCAACATGAAATCCTTAGTCTGCAACTTAGATAATGGGCTATCATCTCTAATCTGCAGAAAGGGAAATTCAGGAATCAGAGCCATTCTTTCAAGTCATCTATGAACACGTATTCTTATCTCAGAGTAATAGAAATGGAGCACTTTTGGCAAAATATCCAAATTGTTGACTAAAGTTTTTCAGATAGAATGCTTTAAACAAATAGATAAATCAGGCAAAGTAAATGAAAATAATATATACCAAAAGTAGCAAACATAAAATATAATTTCTTACCCAACCATTTGTAGAAAAAATAAAGCAAGACCATCATAACACAGCAGATGACCACAAATATTACAACTGTAAGAGGATTGATAGTTAAATATTCTTCCCTCTTTTTCCTCATTTCTTTATCTTCAGTGTTTGTCACTGCCTTCAAGTTTTCCCTGCATAAACAAACACAGGAACTTTGGCAAAGTTCTACCAAGCACAGTTATTTAAAAAAAAAAAAAAAAATTTTTTTAGCTGTAGTTAAACACCTTTATTTTATTTATTTATTTTTATGTGGTGCTGAAGATCGAACCTAGCACCTCGCACATGCCAGGCCAGCGCTCTACTGCTGAGCCACAACCCCAGCCCCCCCACTTCCCCACCGAAGTACAGTCATTTTCAAGATCTAACGCCAATTTAGTTTTGATTCTAACTATAAAAACCCCAACATAATTCTATCCTCCAGAGATGATCTATTCCTAACCACTAACTTTTGAAAAAGCAGCCCCCTCCCAGGCAAAACTGTTAAATAGATGATAATTTATTAGATAAATATATTAATATTTGGGGATACAGTAGAGGAAGGGAACTGAGATAGAGAAAGGAGGTATATCATTTGCTGAGCAGTTAAGTGTCATTTGTCAAGTATCATTTGTTGAATCAACTTCATTGTCTCTTCCCAGTTACATGGAACTTACCATATACTTTCCCAGCTCTAGTCCCCTCAACACTGTTCTATTAAACTCTAATTCCCCTTGGATGTGTCCTGGTCCTGCTCTTAAGTCTGGACTCAATACAAACTTTAGGTTAAAAAAAAATTAAAGTTTATTTTATCAAACCGCACATTTGCAACTATTTATCTACCAGCATACCACTTTCTTATTAGAAAACTATTCACTGGGATGGCCACCCTGTGACTCCAGGGAGGGTGCCAGGGAAATGGGCAAAGAGAGAGTTGGTACCAAGACACAACAGTACCTATCTTGGAATTGTAGAATTGAATGACAGGGCATTAACACAAATTTCAATAATGTGGTATGTATTGCTAACCTTTGGTATCTGTCATTGCAAAAAAATGTAAAGACATTTTTATCATAGAACACATATATATCATAATAATGATTTATACATTCATATTCAGTGTATTAAAAATCTTTTCTTGGAGCAAAGCTTATACTAGATTTATATCACATTAAAATATTACAATTCACTTTTAAAAAAACATTGTACTCAATCAGCTTGAGGGCCACATGCAATAATTGAAGATAACCTTTCTTCTGTGTCATACTGAGGTTATAAAACTTGAGTACCACAATCTCATTGTAATAAGATTTTAACTCTTTGCTAAAAGTCTTTCTTTTTCTTTTTCTTTTTTTTCTTTTGGGGTGTGTGTGTGTTGGTGTTAGAACCCAAGACTAGGCAAGTGCTCTACCACTGAGCTACACTCCCAGACCCTCCTTTTATTTATAGGGGGAGGGGCAGGTTCTAAGTTGCTCTGGTTGGCCTTGAACTTGTGATCCTCCTGCCTCTTGACTTCTAAGTAGCTAAGACTACAGATGTGCACCACAGTGCTTGGTTTGTAAAAGTTTTTCTATGGAACTAAGGCATCTTTCCTTTTTGCATAAGGTACATCTTTCATTTGGCAGAGTAATTTTGGGTTATGTGGTCCTCTTCTGGTAAATTTTCCCTTCCCTAAGCCTTATTCTGTCTTTACTTGATAAATGGTAGTCTGTATGTTTTTAAAAATTCTTGTTATAGAACTTTTTCCTTGATTCAGATTCCCTTATTCCTTATGGCCAGCCCCCTCATACACTTACTTCTTTCTAGCTTTGTTTTGTTCTTAGAATCAGCCCCCTTGATTTTAAAATTCATAATCCTGCAGGTATGGGACATCTCCTATCCCAAACTGGCTACTCAATGCAACAAGTCCTTTGTTTCTACCCACAGTCATGTTTCATGAATACAGAAGCTGATATATACTCCTCTTCAATCTCCAGTTTTCTTGAGAAGGAGTCTGTACTGACACCTATGTAAGTAAGATTGTTTCTATCTTAAGTACCCCCCAAATGCCATGTATGAAGGCCTGGTCACCAGCCTGTGGTGCTTTTGGGAGGTGTAGTTCCTTTAGAAGGTAGGCCTAACGGAAAGAAATTAGGTCATCAAGAGTGTCCTTGTGGGTAATATTGGGACTGGCCACTTCTTTCTCTTTTTCTCTCTCTCTACTTCTGGGCCTCTATACCATGTATGTCCCACCATAAAATTTTGCTTTGCCACAGGCCCAAAGCAATAGTACCAAATCACCATGGACTAAAACCTCTGAAACCATGAGCCAAAAATAAATCTTTCCTCCATTTAAACTGTCTATCTCAGATATTTTGTCATACAGTTGCAAAGCTAACTAACACAACTTGCTAACTCCAAGTATGGTCCATAGGCAAGCAAAAATCACTGGAGACTTGTTAAAAATGTAGAATTACAGCCCATCCCAAACATACTAAATTGGAATTTGGATTTTAATAAGATATCCAATAGTCAGCATGCATGCTACAGTTTGAGAAATACTACTCTAGAAAAGAAAAAATTTACATAGTAATGGAAGTACAGTGAGAATCTATATAAAATAGTAAAACATGTTTGATCAATCAGTAGCTTTTGGAAAATTATAAAGCTTCATCAAATAATATGGAAGATGATTTTAGAGAGCTTAGAAATATTACATACTGTACTTTATGAAGAAAATTATGAAAAAACCATGCTTATTCACATTAAAAATGTTATATACGTTGAAACAAGCTTTCCAAATATATAAAATCAATCTATACATGTTAAACTCTTAAGATTTCCCTCTAAATATAAGTTAATCAAATTTTAGTATTTAAGAAATTGCAAATAAGCTCAGCTTCATGTAATTACAAATAAGCCCTTTTTAATAAAACCTATATAGACCAATTCAAAAACTAATATATTATCCTTTATACATAAAATAATATGCTGTTAGCATAGGTTTTCATTCAGAGTTACAAATATGAACTGATCCTTCTTTACTGTATTGCCTGTTTTAACCTAGAGCCAAAGTTACAAAAACTGTATGAAGATTGTGTTTAGGTTACTAATAAATAGGAAAATCCAAATTTTATGTACATTTGGAATTTTTATGTGCCTAATATCCTTAGAATTCCTAAATCATTAAGTACAATGATGAAGCCCCACTGTTGATGACTCAGGCAGAATAACTGAAAAACTTCCTTTCTTCTCTGCTTATTTTCTTCCAGTGTAAATAAATAGGCACATTAGGAATATTAAGTATTTTTACCTTTCCTGAGAGAGACAATTAAATATATAAGCTGGGTGTCGTGGTGCATGCCTATAATCCCAGCAGATCAGGAGGCTGAGGCAGGAGGATTTCAAGTTCAAAGCCAGCCTCAGCAAAAGTGAGGTGCTAAATAAACAACTCAGAGAGACCCTATCTCTAAATAAAATACAAAATAAGGCTGAGGATGTGGCTCAGTGGTTGATGCCCCTAAATACAATCCCTGGTACCCACCCAATACCCCCCAAAACTAAAAGCAAAAAACAAATAAGACATGATAGAAGACAAGACCCAAGGTTTTACCAGAATTCAAAACAAATGAATATCCTTTATGAATGTTGAATTGAGATATTTTGTGCCAAATGAGAGGTAAGTACTTTCCAAAAGGGTTTTAAAAACATTTCTTTTTAGTTGTAGTTGGACACAATACCTTTATTTATTTATTTTTATGTTGTACAGAGAATTGAATCCAGTGCCTCACATGTGCTAGGTGAGCGTACTACCACTGAGCCACAACCCCAGTCCCCAAAAAAGGGTTTTTTATGTGACTTTAATGTTTCCCTTTCAACAGAAGAGTTAGAGGAAACTATGACTCTCTTCTTCTCAGTGAAAACTTTATATGACTTAAATAAGGACAAACAAAAATCTGGTTTTATTGTCACTATGTTCTGAAGTCAGGGAAAGATTTTAAATGTCATTATATGGTTAAAATAAAATGATTACACTATTTTAAACCATTTATCACAAAACATAAAAGTTTAATTAAACTTACAATTCAATTAGTCCACTCCAGTATCCTCCTAATGCCACAGTGAACACAGCAATTACAAAAATAACCCCTATAGTATAGTCAAAGTTAGGTGACAATGGAGAGTACATTTTTACTGTAATGTCACTTCCAAAAGTCTGAAAGGCAAAAATGACATTTAAAACACAGAAATTCTATTATGGAATATGGCAGCAATATTCCACATGTCATTTTGGAATGGACACTGTACATCAGTCAAGAAGACTAGACAACATAATATATTTTCTAGCAAAAAATATGAGCATATACTTTGGTTTATAAAATCTCAAAAGTGCAATGTTTCATATAATCATTTTGTTCAGGGATTTAAAATTAAGATACAAAAAAATGACACAAAGAGATTTTAATAGAACTCAAATAAACATTTTTTGTAAAGCCAGCCTTTGAGACACTTTGTGTCAAATGAGAGGCAAGTACTTCCCAAATAAAGACTTCATAGGCTTTTTAGCTTCTTGTTAGCAAATGCACCATAGATAATAATCAAAACTAAGTATCACAGATTAAAGAGTTATATCATTTATAAATTTCAGCTACTTTATAATTACTAATGTACCTGTTTCATATCTTTAAAGTCTTTTTTACTTATAAAGGCAATCAGTATTTTCACGTCATCAAATTCAGACCTGTTCCCTGAGGGAGGAAACTAAAAGAAAAATACATATTATGAAAACTTATTAACTACTAATATATTTACAGAATAAAAGTGATACAAACTATTCTATTAAGAGTAAACATTATATCTTTCTTTAGCTATAAAACAAAGTTTGGGGAATTCTGTCTTAATATTATGAGTTCTCAAAATAGAATGAATCTTTTTAATGTGAACTTAAGCTAATATATACTATATATGATATCTGTATATGGTCCACATTCACATACACATGTATATGTGTGTTTGTATATACATATTCCTAACACAGTTTTTTCTAAGAATAGAAAACTACAAAACTTTTCAAATAAATGCCTATCAGATCCCAAAAGTTTACTGACAAAGAATCCTACCATCAGATTATTTATCTCAGTCCCTAAACCACACATAAGGAAAGTTACTTAATTCCTATAAAATTTCATGTCATGAGCTCCAAAGAAGCCACAGTTTTAAAACTTACTAAGACACTGTCATTGGCAACCAACAATGCTTCGGCACCTCCTTTTTGTGCAATTCTGGCTTTTTCAAGTATATAGCAGGTTCCCCATTGTACCACAACTGCTTTGTTCTTTAGGCCACCAGGTGGAATATCAGAAAGGCTACACAGTGGTGTAGTAGTCAGATTCAGCAAAATAATGGAAGTCTGAAAATAAGAAATGTCTTTAACATGACAAATATCACATATTACCTACAGGCATTCAGTGATAAACACCAGTATCAATTTAATTCAGTGTTCTTTTAGGCGCTGGGGGTATAGCTTAGTGATGTAGATCATATTCTCAGTATGCATGAGGTCCTAAATTCCATCCTCAGCACTAAGAACAAAAAAGTGCTCTTTTTAATTAGAAATATTTTATGACAAACAATGAGGTTTGGAGGTATTTTAAAATTACACAACTTACTTCTCTCATAGAGAGAAAAACACTGAGCAAAGGCAATAAAATAATAATTATTAATAATGACCCTGTATCTAAATTAGTTCACACACTAAAACGTAATTATCACTCATTTTCACTTTTCAATAGTTTTATTTTTATGAATAAAAAGTAACTCTGATTTACTTACTGCATTTTCTAGGGTACTTGGAAGCACTGTCCAATGAGGGTTATATAGAATGCAGTAGTCCTTAGACGGTAAATGTGTGCCATTTCCAGATGCATGCAGGACTGCTTCCTGGGCAGCTGTCTAAGACACAAATAATAATTTTCACACTGGCAATAATTGGGCTTTTAATAAAGCTATTTACATACAGGTTTCACCACATTTCCTTAAGAGGCTAAGTCTTCCAATGAATTTATTTCTTCTTGGTTTAGAGAATAAAAAGACAGGTTGGGAATATTGAAACTATCCACATTTGCCCAGAACTCATTCTTTGAGGAAGACAGGTTATACCAGTCATATTCCAGGGAGGATTCTTGCTATCAGGTAATAACTAACTTCAATCCTGCCTCACAGCCTGAAACTTTCCTCTCCAATCTCCTATGAGTTATCACTTAATTGTTCATGTTGTATAGAAGAAAAAACAACTTTTTTTTAGTTGTAGATGGACATAATATCTTTATTTTTTATTTATTTGTTTTTATGTGGTGCTGAAGATCGAACCCAGAACCTCATGCATGCAAGGCAAGCGTCCTATCACTGAGCCACAACCCCAGCCCAGAAGAAAAAGTTTTAAATACACTAAAAATCCCTCAACCTATCTTACCTTCTGCACTCTACTGCTAACTGGCCTTTAAAAAGTTACATTATTATAAGTACTCTTGAGAAGAGAACCAGCTCAAATTTGATGCAAATTATTTTTATTCAAGTCTTCAAAATTCTGCAGCTCCCTATCCAAAAAGACCAATCCAAAGTTCAAAGTAAGGGAAAGAAAAGGCTAAAAGTGATTGAAAAGAATAACTATAGTACATAGGGATGAGGGGCGATAGAGATTATGAAATGAAGAAATACCCTAAAATGTTTAGAATATCAGTCCACATCACCAATTCTTTCAAACTTGGATCAGTACAGGTTCTTCCTCTTTCCTTCTGTGAGTAAATGTTTCTCTAAAACAATAAGGAAGAAAAGAGAGTGCTTGACAAATAAAGATGATATATCAAGCCTCTGCCATTAAAGCACAAATAGGTTGAATCATATGAAATTACTGATGTTTGACCATTTTTGATCTTGGGAATTTCAAACAAGTCAAACCATTTCAAACTATTCTTAATGAGTATAGAGATGTTCTAATCTATGCTCTCCTACCTGAAATGCTGCTTGAACATTTTCGATTAGAGGACTTTTTGGCATTCTTAGGGCTTCATTTGCTGTTAGTTCTAAGTAAATACAGGGAATTTCTGAGACATATCATCAAACTACACAAGAGTAATTAGATGTTGAAAAGAGTTTTTATTCAGCTATATACTTGGTAGCCATGAATGTTATGAGCTGAACCAATGTTATTTTTACTACATGCTACATTTATCTGATTCAATGCCATTGATTCACAAGTGAGGGTTCTAACACTAAAGAAGATACTAATATAACCTACCTAAGGTCATATAGTAGAATTATCTATGAGTCTATCTATATCTGCAGATATACATGAGAGTTGATTAGATTTAGGTTAAACATTTTGGGGAAGAATACTTTATAATTGAATTGGGCACTTCTTAACTGCATCCAAAAATAAATGGCATATAACATTAGGATTTCCCACCACTAGTGATACTGAGTTTGATCATCAGGTTCAGGCAGTAACTGCAGAATTTCTAAAATGCAAAAGTATTTTTTTCCCTTTGTGATTGGTAAGTGACCAATCTGTGCCCCATGTGAAGAGTCCAACATCATCTCTCCAGGGTTTTGGCATTCATGATAGGCTTTACCTGAAAATTTTTATATATTATACTAGGAACGGCAAATGGCAAATGATGTCTTTTTAATATTGTTATTCATGAGCTAGTATTCTTCTGTTTTTCTTTTTCTTTTTTAACAGTGCAGGAAACCAAATCCAGAGCCTCACATATGCTAGGCAATTTCTCTGCTACTGAACTAACACCTCCAGCTATTTTTTGGAGACAGGGTGTCTCACTAAGCTGCCAAAGTTGGTCTCAAACTTGTAATCCTCCTGCCTCAGCCTCCCAAATAGCTGGGATTACAGACAGGTGACAATTTGCTTAGCCTTAATATTTTTAAAAGGGCTTTATTGTTCCCCTCTATCACCTTTGTTCAGTATCACCAGAGTCATTTTTTAAAAACAACTCAATGCAGTATAATTAAAATTATTTGTTTGATGTTCAAATTTCCCCAAATTTAGTGAGCTAACTCTTTTAGTTAAGTCTTTATATCCTCTTTAGAAGACCTCATTTGTTTTTCAGGATTTCTTGCTTATTTGGCATAAGATATCCTGGGCTGACTTTGTCCTTTATCTGCTAAAGCCATTCCACTAGTTCCTTTTAGAGGGGAAAGATATTTAGATCAGGATCTGGATTTTAACTGTGCACACTGTTGCTGAAATGGTATAATCTTTTTATAATTAGTATTCATTAAAAAATATATAGAATCCTGAGTCATATCCTATAGATAAATAAATGCACAGATTAATGTATAAGGTTATTGACTACAATATTATTCACTTTAGCAAAAAGTAAATCAACAACTTTGACCAGCAAGGGAATGATTACATAACAATATCTATAGAATGCAGTTATTAAGGGAAACACCTAGATCTATCTCTAGAAACAGATAATGTCCATAGTAAGAAAAGCAAGTTCCAGAAAGGCATTTATAGTGCAATCCTATTTTTATGTAAATAATGACTTCTCTAAAAGCCCCTTTATATGTATGTGTGTGTATATATATATATAAATATAAATATATATGCATATATATATATATCTGTACATATGAATCTGTGTGGAGGAGACACACACATATCAAAAGAAAAAGTGAGAGGAAAATAAAGGCAAAGGCAAGGGAGAAGGCTGGGGTAGTGAGTACTTGCTTAGCTTATGCAAGGCCCTGGGTTCATCCCCAGCACCACAAAAGAATAAAACAAAACAAAAAACCCTAATGATTAGAAGAGAAATTAATAAAAGGAATAATATTCAGGCAAAATAGTTGGGTACACACAAAGTTTCTTCCTCTCATCCTCACACTCATTCTTAGGGGTTTCTTTTGTATCTTTCCAAAACTATACATAAACATTTAAGATAAATATATACATATATATTTGTTTACAAATTAGGGTCATGCTATACATACTGCTCTGTAGCTTTTCTAAAATTTAATGTATTGGGTTTTCCATACTACCTCTTGTTATATAACATTTTGTTTTTTTATACATACAAAACTCTAAAGGATTTTTTAAAAATCTTTAAGTGTCCAAGGAAGAACAAAGATGTTCAAACTGAGTATGATTTACTGCTATAGAGGGATTATTATCTTTTCTATAAGTAAGTGTACAAAATTTGTCAATGATAAAAGCAAATCTCATTGATGTATAAATTACTAAGGTAAAACAAATTTTAGTAGAAGACTAATATAAAATATGAAAGCATAAACACATATAATTTTAAAATGGTTAATACTGAATGTGGAGCATCAGTAGGCCTATACAACTTGAGCATTTCCACTACATCTTTAAATATCTTGGTAAAATTTCTCATACATATTGCATGGCTCTAAAAATTCAGTTTGCTACAATAGATATTATGTTATAATATGATAGGTAATGTTATAGAATATATAACATTATAGATAAAATGTTATTTTTTAATATAAAAATAAAAACTCTTGAGGTTTGAAATTAGAGTCCTAGGATAAAATGCCCGTTTCATGATTTACTAGCTATGTTATAAGTCATTTAACTTACCTTAAGTTTCAATATCCTCAGCTTTGAGATGACAATAAACACCTGGACTTCATAAAGTTGTCATAAGGATTAAGATATATTATGCAATTATTTGCAGATATAAAGTTCTTAGTAAATGGTAATTATTACTAATAATACTCTACCACCTCGCCAAGTACTTATATGATGCAAAAGAAATACAAAAGATTAATGGTTGGAAGATTAATGGTTACTTAGGGCTTGATGAAATGTAAAGGTGGAGACTGACAGCAAAAGGGTATGGAGCTTCTTACTTTTTAAATAAGGTTATTTTTATAGCAGTTTTAGGCTCACAGCAAAACTAAACATAAAGTACAGAGTTCCCATATATACCCTTATCTGACACAAACACAGCCTCCCCTACTATCAACATCCCTCCCATCAGAGTGGTACATTTGTTACAAGATATAAATCTTCATTGACACATCATCACCCAAAGTCCACACTTTGCATTAGGGTTCACTTGTGCTACTTTTCATTGTTATAATTTGGATCTTAAAGGACTCCCAAAGACCCATATTGCTATATAGGTTTGGTTACCAACCTATGATGGTATTAGGAGGTAGAAAACTTTTAGGAGATGGAAAGAAGCTAGGTCAGAAGGAGTATGGTCTTGAAGAAGATATTGGAACCACAGTCCATTCCTCTCCCTCTTTGCTTCCTTACCACCATGAGGTGAGCAGATTCATTTGCCATGGTGTACTGTCTTGCCACGGGCAACAGGACGAAATGATCATGTACTGAAAACTATGAAACTGTGAGCCAAAATAAATCTTTTATTCTCATAAATTGATTTTTTTCAGGTATTTCTGTCACAGTCAAAGCTAACACAGAAAATTGGTACTGAGAAGTGGGGTCATTGGTGTTAACTATACCTGATTATGTGGTTCAGAAGCCTTTGGAATTGGTCTGCAGAGGAGTCTAGAAAGTCTGGAGAAGCAGGAAACAGAAAGCTTAAAATGCTGTAAGCTGAGCTTAACTGGTAATTCTGGTGAATGCTCATAAGACCATAATGCCGACAGAAAGGTAGACAGTGAAGGCCAGGTTCACAGGTTTCAGATGGAAATGAGGACTGTACTGCGAATTGGACTAAAAGGTCATTTATGTTAAATTTTGATAAAGAACTGGTCTACATGTTGTCCGTGCCCTGAGACTTTGTAGAAGACCCAGTTTAAAGGTTATGGACTAATTAATCTGGCAGAAGTTTCAAAGCAGCACAGCACTGCAGGCTGTGCCATGGGTATTACTGGCTGCTTTTAGCCAAATACATATTTAGAATTGGGAGTAGAAGATAGAGCAGAAAGATTTGAAAAAC